GGGCAAACCTGTTATATATAATTAACATCTCCCCAACGCAAAAAAAAATACATCTTGAAAATATGTCAGTTGCCTATAAATCATTGAAACTACAGTTGCACATTTAGCGTGCCTCGGATGGTATTCCACTCTCCTTTGCAGTTGAAGGGTGCTGTATTTGAATATGGGCAGCTTAAGTTTCTTGAATTTTAGGTTTTGGAAGCCTTTTTTCCCCCAGAATTGTGTTAAATAGTATCCCACTTCTAGAAAGATTATATATAAAAGGAATAAGTTTATCTTCAGTGTCAGATTTTTAGAGTACCTAATGGTTAATGCCTGAGGTACGTGTCATTCATGGGTAAGAAAGTTCGCCCGAGGGAGAAGCCTCGAGGGCCCCATTCTTACCCACAAAAGTCTTATTACGATTCGCCTTGAGTAGAAGCACCCCCTCACCAGTTGAAAAGAGACATGTTGGTAGGGAGTTTCATTTTGTTGGAAGAAGCGACGCAACCGTAAAACGTGTACTTCATACTGCTTGAACAAAGGAAGTGCAATTCCGACCAAAGGAGCCTCCATTGCGAGGAAACGTGCGCCCTCTCTTGGTTCAGCTCGGGGCTAACGACTTCACCACCAGGGACTATATGCTAATTACCCCTATTTCCACCGCTCCATTATTCTGCACTGATAGAGCTCTTTGTTTTGTGAGGAATGCAAGGCTTTCGCTATAAGGCCATTCCTTGGTGCAAATGTTATAGTCGAGAACTTCTCAGGTGTGCAGTGCTGTTACGTAACAACAGATTCTGGATAGCGGTAGAATTTTTAGCCACACCCACGATCCCTTAATCATTTGGACATTGCACCTCGACATGGCGTGAGACAGCCATGGTGATTTGGTTTGCTGTTCAGAGACACTGACGACCATTACTCATTGGGCGTAAATTATATCATCAACGTGTTACATCCAATTAGAATAGAACCAGCCGATTCTCCAAGGCTCTGGGTCCTTTTTTGGCCGCTTGACTTCGCCCTGGAAGAAAAGACCGTTAGGTGACACGTGGAGTGATGGCAAGTGAATTAAGGTTGGTAATACACTCACCACTTTGTCCTCGGAGGTACATATGCAATCTTTCTTTGTTTTCTTTCACAAAATGCAGTACCGAACGCAGATATCAAAACTATCGGCTGAATCGCCCGTATTGCTTGGCCATCGAAGGTGGCTGTGATGCCAATAGGGGAAGACGCTGTTCATTTTACAAACTGAAAACCAAACAGTTGCTCTGTTGAAACATTTTGGAGGGATACTCTTTGGCGCATTTACCATGTACATCCAATGGTTGTATTGAAAAACGTGCTTCATATAGACCCCGTAAAGTGTGCATTTTAAAAACACGCACACCCTACCTGTTAACAATAACGTATAAAGAACTATGATCGTATTCCCTTGTTCCAGAATGAAGGGTTTTGGGACTGTTTTCCTGCAGTTCCCGGGTATCGTGTTGAAGCGGGCATAATCGCTGAGTGTTACTGAGAACCTTGCCGTCGGTAACGTATTGCAGTTGGGAATGTGTTGGACATTTGTGGACAAATTTTCTTGAATGTGCGTCAACCGACCGTGTTTTCCTTGGGAAGGTTACGTCAGTGACTTGCTGATATGTACTTCAGTGAGAGTGAGTGCAGGCATGGAAGTGTGGTGCTGGGTTTTGCGAACGGAAGTCTTGTTACAAGTGACGGATGACGAGGCACTTTTGATGAAGTCGCGATCCCCAGCTGATCCAGGCTCAGAGCCCCTCGGCAGTTATCCGTTTGTCACGCTTCCGTGCTTGGGGTACAGGGATACGTCACAGAAAAAAGTGTGACAATTTATTTCTTGTTATTTGTAAGCTTTGCTGTCAAAATTAGTTGAAAGAACTGATTTTGTTGTAATTCAAAGAGGGGGTGTAACCCAAACAATGGAACAGCCCGTATGCGGTTGGATCTGCAGGCTGACCAGCAACGCGAAAAGTGCAGCGGCCCTTATCTCGCCGGCCTAAGTGTAGACTAGCTGTGCCTCGCTTGTTCAAATAATGCTGGTAGTTTCGCACCCACGGCAGAATGCCTTCCTCTTGATAGCCTATTTCAGATTGTAGGCGATACTTTTGGCCAGTCTGCCATAAATTGTCAGCTGACGTGTTTGATACTTGTGCATACTAGTTTGGCAGGTCATTTCATGAAGCGAGGCCGTTTCTGGGAGTCGTGGTAAGTAGGCAAATATCGCTGTGTACTCGTCGTGCGTGCCTCCAAATCGTGCACACGGCTGGGTTCTAAGTCCACCATGCGTGAACTTGAAGCGTAGTAAGGTGTACCATTCCTCCATGGGTATGGGTATTGCTGATCGGGAAGCCCACACCTGCAGTTGACGACGTCACAATCGTTGCCTTTCAAATACATGTAAATGTTAACCGCCCTTGTGCATGATTGATATAGGTTACCAGTGACATACTGGTAGTTGACTTTAAAACGTGGAAACAACCATCGGGCTTGGTATCTCATTCTATTTAATTTTAGAGTTGTTTTAGTGTTATCAAAGCTTTTTCAGGTATTGACGACCTGTGTGGAGACTCATGTCATCAGTAAGGAAAAGCTTCAGGCTGCCCACTGCGCAGTTGGGACCTGACACGGTGGCGATCGTCACTGGCGCTGCAGAAGGACTTGGCAAGGGATTCGCGGAATGCCTACTCAAGAAAGGCGCAAAGGTGAAAAGGGCAAACTTTGTAACGGATTTCCCGCTGTAATTACAAGTATCAATCTTACTGATGTCTGTCGAGATCCGAGTGGAAGTGTCGGAATCGGTGTCGACACTCGTTTTGTAACTCAGGATGCTCTATGTATCGACACGGAACGGATTTTGGCCTCTTTCGAAGTAGGCCCGTAGTCGTGGCTACTGCTAGAAACTTTCACATTACATTGGTCTATGAGGAAATTATTATTAAGCCTGAAACTGTCGGGAAGCCCAACATACGTCAGGTAGGGACTGAAAAATTAATCTACATGTCGACCTGGTTACATAGAATTTATTAGAACCCGGATTTAGGAGTCAGGGAAAAGTACCACATATATAATACTCCCACCCGACATGAATTTCTAGTTCTTTAAGGCTGCGCAGACACTATTTTCGCTCACTGATTAGCTTTCAAGTTAGTCCAGGTTGTCATGAGCCCTTTTTGAATTCTGATATTGATCCATTAAGTTGACAGGTACATTTTTTCAAACGAATGACCTGGACGTATACGCAAAGATGAGGGAAGGGTTATGTGAAAAAATCAAACAACACTGAGGTTGCCTTTGACTCGAAGCAGGCACAAATTACCAGCTGTGGGTCATTCTTCTGGGTTTTGAAGGGTGTCTGCCTGTCGGATATCAATGAACCCAAAGGTCAGGAGACACTTCGGCAACTGGTTGCTGAGTTCGGACAAGATCGGGTCATGTTCGTCAAATGTGACGTCACCTCGGACTCGGACATGGAAGGTATTTATATTCTTCTTTTGGTATAATCTACACATAAGCCTACTAATGTTTTAACTTGGCAGCCGTGCTCGTTATTACAAAGGTGACGCCCAAATCGCCTGGGACATCCAATCTTACCTTGAAGGCTGGTTGTACCTGCTTGGAGCTCTATAAATGCCACCATTTCCATGCTTTCTTTTAAACGCATAAAGTGTAACTTGCTCCTTACAGCTACATTCTCCAAGACGATCGAGAAATTCGGCCGCGTCAATGTAATGGTGAATAATGCTGGCCTGGCCAATGAAAGAGAGCCGGAAATTTGCTACAATGTCAATATTGTGAGTATTGGCTGGAGATATGCCGGAGTATGGAAGAGTGCGTGTATTTGTGCAGGCCTGTTCTGTAAAATCATACGCACCTAGTATATACGCTGTGTGTCCCAAACCGATCCATGTGTGTTTTGAGAGTGTTCCGGCTGACTGTTTGGCGTTGTCATGCCTTATCATGTTTTCCATTTCATTCTACGTAGATGGGCTTAACAAGAGGCACCTTCACTGCCATTAAATACATGAGCCCCGATAATGGCGGGAACGGAGGCAAGATCATCAACATTGCGTCTATGGCAGGTCAGTAAAACGCCCTCTCTCTCTTGCTCTGATCGCTCCCATGTTGTTGCTATGTGCGCAAGTGTGCATGTCTTACAGAGCTCCTACGCGTCGGTCTGCCGTTCTTAAGGGCACTGAGAGAGGTTAATTAGTTCCCTTTCACAATGAGAGCTCAAAGAAAGTGAGATTCGCGTCGCAAAGAAATCAGCCCAGCGCTAAACACCACCTTCCCTGTTAGGATGTATTTTAAATACCCTCGCTCTAATATGTTTTTAATTTGGCGGTTAGTTTTCGTATAATCACTGAGAAAAAATTCAACGTCAGAGGCACATGCTATGGCAGGTTTTGGTGGCAGTTGGTAAAGGTGGTGGTGCAGTTTTAATTGGTTTGGTGCCTACATTTGCGCGTACAGCTACACTTGAACCCTATCACTGACTTGGGGAATAGACTTTTGTTGGTGTTCCCACCTGATTTGTTTTTGCCCTGTGTTTGTTTCATTACCGGTAGGTCTTTGGCCCATTTATCTTATGCCAGTTTATTCCGCATCGAAACACGCCGTCATAGGATTCACCAAATCTCTTGCGGTAAGCCAAGTTAAAATGTACATTATACAATATCGTGTTTCTGAAGCTAGAAAATGACTACCAGCAGTTAATGTTTTGCTAATAATCGCTTGCTGAAAAAAAGCCAGTTTTTTCGCACCATTTCACGACCGGGAGAGGAGCCCGCACCCGTGGTTTTGTTGTGATTTGAAGTTCATGGCCACACGCGTGTTGGCCCACGCGCGTCAAGCAAGTCAGATAAAAAAGTACATGCATCATGAAAATTTGTTGCCTGCTGTGTAGGGATATGTGATGATTGTACACCCGAGGGGCAACAATTGTTTTGTTACACCGTGGTCATGGACTTTTACGAACACTGGCAAGAAGTACATGTTACTGGCTCCCAATGCATTTAACAGCAGATATCTTTACTGTCGAAATGGTTAGTGGAGCAAATTCAGCTTACTTAAATGATTGGCGGGGAGATGCCATCTTCCGTCTTGACACTGCTATCAAATTGTGTCGTTTGTTTTTGACAAAATTATCACGTGGTCGGTTCTTAATCAATGAAAATTGAATAAGCCTGCAGGCTATTACGGATGTGTAACCATTTTCACCGGCTTGGCTCTGTAAAAAAAAAACCTGACCGCTGTGTAAGAATATAATGTCCGATTTTCACAAAGTTAGTGTCAAAATGACCGGAAGATGTCACTTAAAAAAACCCAGAAGGTTCGGCGCCTGAAACTGTGCCACATTGGAGAAAAATGTCGGGGGTGGACTCCGCCCCCACCCTGGTAGGGTTCATACTATCATGGTGCCTTTCTGATCTTTTGAAGTCCTATGTGTGTGTTTAATTGGAACCTGCAGGCCGATCCTCAATTCGCCTCAAAAGGCATAACCTTTAGCATCTTGTGCCCCGGCTTCGTTAACACGCGTATCCAGGAGAAAGCACGCCCCCAAGAGTCGGACTTAAGGAAGATGATGAAGCTCCAAGCGAGACTTGGTGTAATAGAGTGAGTATATTTCCAAAAAGGAACCAAACTCTTTTGAAAGGCATTTGTGCAACCTCTTTACACCCCTTCCTCAATGCTGGCAATAAAAAAAAATCTGTAGTTTTTGAATTGATGGCTAAAGCCAGCAATGCTTCCCTCAGGAAGGTGTGGTTCCGTTTTCCGCCCTGAGTAGAGACACCTCCTCATCGGTTGAAAAGAGCCATGCTGGTTGGGAGTGTACATTTCGTTGGTAGCGATGCGACTGCAATGCTTGCGTCATTTTGTTCGTGAACCAGCGATGCGCAGTTACTACCAAAAAAAAAAAAAGCCTCCGTTGCTAGGAATATTGCGCCCTCTCTTGGTCAAGCGTGGGGCCCGTACACCTTGCACCTCAGTCGGGCTATACCGGTACATGACAATTTCGTCCTTATGAGACTACTACTGTTGTTGACCAGTTAAAGACAATGCACAATCTACGGGGTTTTTAATATTAAAAATCACCCCACCGTAAACACGTCGATCCTTGGAATTGAGTACCAATGCGTGATTTATTTCCACAAATTATGTACTTCGCAGGATCAGTCAGGTTCAGGATGCCTTTTTGCAACTCCTTCTGGACGAATCGTGGTCTGGGAAAGTCATGCTCGTCTCTAAACAGGATGGTATAAAAAGTGCTTTGTGATAGTCCTCAGACACGTACAGCAAACCTACAATGAGTCTACGAATTTCGATTGGCCAGTCTCCTGGCTTTAGCGAAAACATTGCTTAAGGTATTATGTGTTCTTAGCAATAATTAGATAGTAATAAAGTCTCAAAAGTATACTTTGCACGGGACATTGGTTGGGAGCTTAGCTGTTTTGCTGAGCAATTATACTTGGTGCTTTTTATGTATAAAAAAACTGGAAATCACTGTGTGAGATGTAATCTTAAAATGTCGCCCATCAAAGATTTCGAGTTTCTCTCGCCCTGACCTCATGATGACATTATTACTGGGTGCCAGATATGTAAGTAGCTGTTGTCATTTTGAATACTTGGAAAAGAATAAACATTGACCGGGAATGACCTTGTCTCGTTTTCGGAATTCAATACTAGTTTCTTCGTTTCCATTGTATGTGGAATATTGTAAATTCATCGGACCATAATTTCTGATGGTTGCTAATGTGAAAATTGGTGAAACTTTTGAACTTTAACTCCACTATCTTAGGCTTCGGCAAAGTACATATGTAAATTTCTGCAAAGGGTTGGAAGATACTTGATAAATTGATGCATAACATTGTTTGCAACTGCGCAAAACAAAAACACTCGCGAAAACGAACACGCACCCCAGCCTCGATCCCAACAGAACATGCCCATATTTCCTTTGTTTTCACGCACTGCAAATTAGTGTGTGGAGTGCAATGTTTAAATCGGTTTCGTTTGAACCAAAGGCCTTCACAACTTCAACTGGATGTTAAAATTTCAAAATAAAGTGATCGATTCTATTCCACTTCACCCCCAGTGAAATGAAACATTATATCCATCAATCATGCAATTATAAATATTGTACTTATAAACGTTTAATACACAGAATCTTTTTTGTTAAGTACTGTTGATGTTTTTTCTTTGTCGGTCGAAAATTCCTATTCAGTCAAAATCCGAAGTTTAAAGATTTATGAAAGAAGCTAATCAAGAATCAAACTTATAAGAGCATTAAGTAATTGGAGATCATTAATATTGTGATATTTAACCGTTGCAGAAGCATAGAGGGAAATCCTGATGAGTGTCAAATACTCACAAGAGCACCCCAGTGTGTTGTGGTACCCCCAATTTGCTCTCCTTCAATTTGAAACCGTGCAGGTATTTACCCTTATGCAATCATGCCTGTCTACTCGGCTACCAAATGTGCCGTCCTAGGGCTCACCAGATCCCTCGTGGTAAGTCACTGGCACCAGACTTGAACGAAGTGTTTCTTACATGTTTAAAACATAGGGGTCTAATAACACCGATAAAATGGCCGGGTAGGAGGCGATGTCATGCGACACGAACACAGCTGTATGACCGTGTTCCGTCGACTCATCTTAATTTTCGTTCGTGGCCGGGTAGGAGGCGATGTCATGCGACACGAACACAGCTGTATGACCGTGTTCCGTCGGCTCATCTTAATGTTCGTTCATGGCGATTACCATTAGCCTGATCCGCGTACGGAGGCTAAGGGGATAACTTTTGGCGCCTTATACCCGGGCTTTGTGGATACCAGACTCTATGAGTCACAAGAGCACGCAGCAAAATACGGCATGATGGAGTAAGTGTAAAATTTACACTACACTGCAAGAACCCTAGGTGCTATGCTAACACTGTGCAATCGTTGGTGCCTAAATTTTCAAAATATGTGTACACGTATTAGGTTTTGCTTAGTTATATCTAAGTTATTTAATTCACTTTATGCCCATTGCACTCCTAGTCTGGCTCCCTTCCCTCCCAATGGCTTTATTTTATTGATCACTCGGTTCACAGCGCCTTCCTGCAGCTCGTCCTCGATGAGTTCTGGCGCGGCAAAGTCACGGGAGTCGACAAGAGCAGAGGCATATTCGATGCGTTGGTCATGAGGCTGTAGAGAATTTGTCTCAGATAGATCTGCACGCATCTGGCAACTCGCTGGCACCTCTCAAATTGAGAGAAGGCTACGTTCATATTCATGAATTGATTCAAATAAAATGCTATATCTCACGTGCTTCGAGGATGTATGAGCATTTTGTTGTAAAATATTGGCTAAGGTATTGAATGGAATCTCTCATTGCCATTAAATAGTTGCTAATAGACCGGTCTGGTAATCCCTGCCCACTGCGCATGTTGGCACTTAACACGTGTTCTTTTGCAGTCCCACACCGCGTTTCAGCCTGGCGTAAGCATCATACGCGCATGCACGCATGTCGGACATTAGGCCCTAACCATGATTGTGATTGGTCGAATCAGTCGCGCTGGGCTTCATGTATCGGTCTGCTTACTGAAACTACCCGTGGCATATTTAGTGCATAATGGAACGATAGTCTTGGCTTCCTGGAGGGTATTGTTGTATTAGCAGCTTTTAAAGCTTTCTATAGAACTGTTGGCGCCTTTAGAATTGTGTTAAATGTAATACCACTTCATTAGGTATTTTACAAAAGTTGAAGTTAAGCCCATACTTTATCTTTAACGTCGGCATTTTTGTGCCACACACACTTAATCTAACTTTTTTCACAGAGAGTTTTGCTCTTTGTGGATTTCGTTGACTGATTTATTTAAAGGGTCCCTGCAATGAATTTCTCTTACACGAACTTGCTGCACAACTTTATATTCTTCATCAATGTGAGAAAATATTTGACACCCCTTTTAGGTTCAATGTACTGAAAGGGTGCCTTTATATTGTCCACGGTTTTCTGGACAACTGAGGGCGCTGTCGGTGGAACCCCATTCGGGAATGACACTGCTCTGTTGAGGTATTTATGTTTTCAAACTAAAAGCTAAAAACATTTTCAAGAAAAGAATGTTCAAGAATGAATGACAAACGAAAAACCATTCTGGGCAGCAAATGTAAAAAATACCAACACGTTTTGGGTATGAATTAATATAAACCTTGAGACTGTCTCCCAGGAGTGACTTCACAATTTTGCTCGTGAATATGGAAAGTTGCGATAGTTTGAAACCCGTGTGACTTTGCACCAACACAGCGCGCTCAACACGCTCTCGCCGTTCGCAATTGACCGTGGAACAATCTGTTGTTCCCGCTTCAGTGAACGCTGAGATGAAGAATTGGGACGCACTTTGCTTACAATGGCAGCACCTGAAGCCTTTATGATCGTAACCCGAGTTCCTCTTTGTGGCTAGAACACCGCAGGCGATGGTGTATAGATTACCTGGCTGGTAAGTCTTATGTTCAAGGGCAAAGTACATTATGCAAATGTCGACTGAAGTGAAATCAAACAGTCGCTATCGACAGTTTGTACGGCAGACTGCGCCCCTTTTACCCTTTTACCCACTTTTACCGCGTCCATAACATAACCATCAGCCCTTGTACGTACATGTTGAACGAACAACCTGTCTTCACATTTGACTCATTTAAAAACTACAAACCTAGAGCTTGGTATCTCATTCGATTGAGCCTTTGATCACTTTCTTTTGGTCAGATCTTCAATATTTACGCACTGTGTATTTGTTTCAAAGTTCCTGATCGGTCATGTCGTCGGTACCAGGGGAAAACTTCCAGCTCTCCGAGGCGCAGTTGGGGCCTGGCACGGTAGCGATCGTCACTGGCGCTGCCGAAGGACTTGGCAAGGGATTCGTGGAATGCCTACTCAAGAAAGGCGCAAAGGTGAAGATGTTAACTTTGTAACGAATTTCCTGCTTTTCTTTTCAAGTAAAATATCCTGTTTTAATTCCATGTGTCAAGATTTCAGTTTGTAATGTAAATACCGAAAGAGGAATGAAAACTCTAAAATTAGTCATTAATAGAAGTAAATCGGCGGCCAAAAGTTCAAATAATTTGATATACTCAAAAAAGTCACCTGAGTTGTACCAGAGCATGACTACATTTGTATTTCTGTATGGTATAGCTGACGAAGAGAGTTATGACGGTGTGATTATAAGAGGTTTTCGCTGTACCTTTGATGGGGGGAAAGTACAGAAAAACCTATAGTTATCCTGCAGGTCTCCACTCATCCAATTAAATCACCTGATATAAATTTGCAAACATTTGTGAATTCATACTTGCAGATAGACGGAGGTTTGTCCGACCATTAAATTCTGGTCCAACCCTTTCATTTTAATTCAAGAATTCAACGATATATACAATTGATCAAGGCTGTGTTCACAGTCTTTCTGTGATTTCTGTTTCTGTGATTGGAAGTTGTTAGTGATTAATTTTCTTTTGCTTTCTTTTTGTCCTTCTTTCTCAACCTTTTTATATCGTGGATTTTGAAGGTTTCTATCACTGTTTTTAGCACACTGAGTACAGAATTTTGGGATTTTTAGTCATTAACATCTTCACATTTGATTTAATTTTTCTGATCTTGATTTTCTGTCGAATTAATACTTAAACATACAAATTTATCTTTAAAAGTACGAAAAGTTTAAAACGAACTACACGTAAATTATAATTCAAACCCCCATTCCTAAAATGTCAGAAAATATGCTGGTTTGATGCTGCTTGATTAAATTCAATTTTGAAATTATTCGAAGATGCGTTATATATTAGCTTGGATTTTTCTCTTCCGTTGACTTTTTAAAAATTCAGATACATATTTATTTTTCCCCCAACTACAACTACAATGGCGAGACAGTCACAGAATTTCTCAATAAAAATTGATTTTATTCGCACCTCCAAATAGCTGTTCTTCCTCGTCAACACAGGTTTTCAAAAATGAAACGCACAACAGCAACGATTCGAAAAAGAGACGTGTTAGGTCACATTACCAAGAATTTTACATTCTTGCTTTCTAAGTTTGTTCCCCCTCGTACCCAAACCATTAAATAATTTGAATACATCTGCAAATGCATATCTGGCAGGGAAATAATAATTAAATTCACCCTGCTGACACCAGGGCTTGGCATGTACATACATGTACAAGTTTACCCAGAGACAGGGAGACGAGCAACGGTCCACGGGAGAGATTTGTTTAACCCGACCTTGTGACATAAATCGGGTTAACTTGTTGAACCATGACCGTCACTGGGCAGGGCTTAGGGATAGACATGAAAATCCCAATCACACCTTGATGGCAGGGATATAGACTTACTTAGCCCGACTGTGCCTAATTGGTGACAGAGACAGACTTGTTGAACCCGACCGTGCATTGATGACAGGGATATAGACTGGCCGTTTAACCAGACCATGACCAGACCTTGCCTTGGTGTGAGAAAACGCGACGACTTGTCTAACTCAGGCTTTGACAAAAGGTATAGACTTGTACTATACGATCTTGCCTTGACATGACAGCAGGAATAGATTTGCTTATCTACCATGATTACCTATTACCCTTGAAGAGCCGGGTTATTTTGGCCCATCCAATTACAGCCGGTGGGCGGATTCCGCCCCCCCCCCCAACTCCGCAAACGGTTTTGTTACGGTTATT